GGAAAGAGGAGATGCTGTGATGCTGCACTAGGGCTTGTGGTGAGCAGACTCAATACATCAAAGCTGTGTGGTTTCCAGTCAAAGACTCCTGCTGTCCTCAGGGCACACCCTGATCATGGCCAGAGGAGGTCTCGCCCAACTCCTTGGCAAGGTGGTGCTCTGCCTTGGTTTACTTACTGATCAGTAATACTTGAACTGTGCCCAGCTTTGTCTGGTGAGTGAGGCTTCATTTTGGTGGAAAATTTTCACTCCTAGTTGTGAACCCCTGCAAATAACATTTTATAATAGAAACACTGTGAGGACTTTAATTGCAGGGTAATAAATAGCAATGCTGTGTTGTCTTCTGATGATTCTTTACATTCTTAGCAAAGATGCACAGCTGCTCTGGAGCAAGGATAAACATTCCCCATCCCTGGATGTGTTCAAGGCCAGGTTGGATGGAGCTTTGAGCAACCTGAATCTAGTGGAAGGTGTCCCTGCCCATGATAGGGGGTTGGAACTGGATGATCTTTCAGGTCCTTTCCAACCCAAACCAGTCTGTCATTTCATATCCTTACCACATCTAGGACCTGCAGGTTGGTCTCATGTCAGGTGCCACCCTGGCCTGTTTGAGGTCCTCAGTCAAAAGAGTGATGCAGGACTTCCAGGTAGTCAGAGGTGATACTTCCCCCAGACAGTGTCCCCCTTCTCTGTAGACTGAAACAACCTGTGGAGTTTTACCACACAGTTTCAGCAGAGGAAATGAGAGCCATTCTGCCCTGCTTCGTTAAAACCCTTCACTTCAAAAGGTCAGAGAGACAAATTGGGATCTCAGTCCTGTTGTTCCTACACACATGAGTAAGTGGTGAATGCAGAGACCTAATCGTATGAGTAAAACGACTGAATTAGACCTTGACTTACTTTCATATTTATTGATGTTTCACCTGCATTGACACAGCAGCACTGAGTGCTTTGATACAAGTTTCAGAGCAGTGTTGAAAGCCCAGTGGGTTTTCCAGACTCGTGCCAGCCTCACCAGGCTGTGCCCTGACCAGACAGCCCCTCCTGCATCAGTAACAGGCCAGGCACCTAATCCTACAATCCTTTTGTCTTAGAATTTGAGATCACAGGAAACACAGGTTTATTCCACATGAGAATTGTCTTTTCCCGTATAATAGAAAATAAAATCCTAAAACAACTAGGGAATTCTGTTGCAAACCATTTCCAGCATTCCTAGCCCCACTCTGGTGCTGCAGGCACGGCGAGGATCCGTGGCACAGCTCAGCTTCCATCCCTGTTCACAGCATTGAGACCTCTGCCTTGGCTCAAAGCTGTTCTGAATTAGGAGGTTAGATTTTCCTAATTGCGTTTTTAAAGACCGAGCCAGCAGTTCATTAGAAATCACGGAGCAAATTCTGCTTCTCTATTACACCAATATAAATCTTGAATGAATTTATATCAGGATAACTGGGAGGGTAGAATGTACCTCCCATCTTGTTCCTCAGATTATTAAAAGTTAAAGGGCCTTGAAAATTGAATTCACCTTTCCCTGTTCAAGCTGTTTACTCTGGTTTTTATTCCAGAAAGGACAGTTGAAACGAATTAACCAACCTCCTTTCTGCTCATAGGCACTTTTAAGTTGAGTTCTCATGTACTAGCCCAGGACTAGTTTGTGTGGAAAAGACCAGAGGGCATTTTCTTTCAAACAAATTGTTTTCATGGGAATAATTTCCTAGAGAATTATATTAAAACCTGTCCACGAATCCTTAATTTAAAAAAAAAAAAATTAAAATATTTTTCTCTCATATATCCTCAATTTGGAGACTTTGCAATTTATTTGTGGATGTAAATCAGCACCTTAATGAATGTCCTTGTGGGTTTTTACCTTCTAAGCTTCTTTAACTGCAATACTTTTCAGCAAGGCAGGAAAATTTTTGCCTCTGAGTTACCAACCCTTGCAAATAAGGGTTTAGAATAGAAACAGCGATAGAACTTTAATTATAGGGTAATAAATAGCATCGCTGCCTTATCTTCTGATATTTCTTTAGATTCTTAGCGAAGACACACAGCTGTTGCTGGAAACTGATAATCAAGTGCT